TTTGACAATTGCAATTGTTACACCGTTTCGACGGCGTGTGTTTTCAAACTGACTTCTCCTTTCGATTGGCATCGCGATTGTTTGCCAACAATGCGATTTTATTGTTAGTAGAACTGTCAACGACTGGAGTCTAACATTTCCAATGTAAAAACATAAGAAAACCTCTGCGATACAATTGCAAATTACATGGATTTTTTCGTTTATATAGTTTATGGTATAGTTTATATAATTAATTAGTAGTATAGTTTATCAGTTACATAGTTTACATAGTGTACGAACAATCATTTGAACGTACAAAATTATAAATTGGTCATTTTCGATACTCTCAACTGACTCTACTATCGTCCATGACGCTCAATGGTTCTTAAAAAGTTTCGTTCAAAGGGTTAACAAAAATCCACCAACAGTTCTCGAATATCTAGTAATTTCATGATCACTCGGAACTTGTCTGTAACCTCATGCAAATACACTCCTTCGAGATTCCAACGTACCGACTGTGAAGACCAGGCCTTGAAACGAGATTAAAAAACCGTTCGTGTTGCTGAAACTCGAATTACGAGATCGCACAAAGGAAGAAAAAAAAAAAAAAGAGAAAAAAAAGATAGCGCTTTCAAATTAGTTCCAGACGATGTTCCAAACATCAAGACAGTCTGGAGGAAACGGGAAACAAGTCCAGACTGAGAGAAGATTTCTCAGTATAATGAGGACCGGGGTAGCAGCGTAGTACAAACTAGCCCTCTCTTCTGGTTTTCCAAGTTTCAAGTCCGAGGACTCGCCATTCGTAACTCGCTACCGTGGCTCTGTTCTACTTCGTGTTCCCTTCGTGTTCCGCGAGCACGGCAGACAGATAGTCAGACGGATAGATGAACAAATGGAAGGAGAAATAAAGCGGCGGCACAATTACCTTAATGGAGTTGTGGACACCGGCGAGCATTATCGATTCAGTGCGTAAACGTCGCCACGCCACGTTGCCCCTGGTCTCGTAATTTCCACGAGGAGGGGAAAAAATTTTCTGCCACCGTCTTACTTAATAACATTGTCTGAATTTTAGATAAATAAATACAGGCCACAAATTAGGATCAAAGTTATTTTATTCAATTGACTTTGCTTATATTGAGGCAAATACTCGATTAGTTTCTGTAAGTAAAAAAGTAATGTTCGACAATATTATTAACGTGACTCGTTATATGTTTATTACATCTAACGTTGGATCATAATTAGAAAAAATTTATTTTTACTATGGTTGATTTTTTGATAAAAGTATTTATTTACTTTTCACACTATTTTATTGTCTATTCGTCATTTATTTAATTAATAACATTGCGAATGTCTGAATTTTAGATAAATAAATACA